TCCACGTAAGTGTTTGTCTAGATCGGAGAACAAATGTTTGATGTGATAACTTATACTCCATTTCGTCCTTTTCTTCAATTGATTTTTTATTTTCCTCTCCGTAGTATTTAATTTGACTTCTGTGATTGCATTATTCAGATGGGCAGAGGTCTGGGATGAATAGTTTTTGCACCATTTATTTACAATACAATATTTTTGTTTTGAAATTGCCTTTTTTTTGTGGTGTAGGAAGTGAATTTGAGTGAACCTCATTCAAGTGTTCATTTCACTGAGCCCAAACAGTTAATGTTTCTGGAGTATTCTCCGTGGTGTTACTTTTGAGACTTTCGGTAATATGTATTAGACATTAGTTTGACTGACATTAGACATGACTGACATTAGACATGACTGACATTAGACATGACTGACATTAGACATTAGACATGACTGACATTAGACATTAGACATGACTGACATTAGACATGACTGACATTAGACATTAGTTTGTTTCACTGACATTAAATGTTAGTTTGTTTGACTGACATTAAATGTTAGTTTGGTGACTGACATTATACATAGTTTGTTTTACTGACATTAAAGGTTAGTTTGGTGACTGACATTATACATAGTTTGTTTTACTGACATTAAAGGTTAGTTTGGTGACTGACATTATACATAGTTTGTTTGACTGACATTAAAGGTTAGTTTGGTGACTCCAGTAGCTAGCACGTTCATCATGAAGAATCACGAGCTGGAAGCAAAATGCAAAGTTTGTAGATGGGGCAAGCTTTGAGGACAGGAGCACGGGCTTACTTTCTGTACGTGTTTCTCTCTCTGACACTTTGTATTGATTGTGTTTCAGATGTATCCAGAAGATGGACCATCACTGTCCTTGGTAAGGCTGTCGTTGCCGTTGTATGTCTGTGACCTTGTATGTCTGTGACCTTGTATGTCTGTGACCTTGTATGTCTGTGACCTTGTATGTCTGTGACCGTTAGGAAGGCTGCCTTTGGGCACCTGGAAGATTTGATAGTTTTGAAATAAATTTTGAATTGAAGTTGTTCAATGAAACATGAACAGAGAAAAGAAAAGGGTGTGGTTGTAGATTCTTTTGTTTTTGACAAAGTTTTGTTTGGAGGTGTTTTCTGATTAGGATAATTCTAGTTGCTGAGTATGCCGCGGGAAAGTGGTCTTGTGTTTTTGTTTCTGTTGTGGACATTTCTTTTCTTGACAACTTGAGTCATTTGAATCTGGACAACTTTCAGTTTGTTCACACATATAGATATTCTTGCTGAGTTTTTTTTGTTAAGATCATGAAATCTTTGGTGTGCAAGACGGAATTTTTTGTTGTGAATTGAATGACTGGCTCGTGCTTACAAGTGTCGGACAAGAATAACAATTGTTGGAGGTTTGCCGTTGGTGAGGGCTGTCTGGTTAGTTTCTGTGTGTTGTGTTGTGTTGTGTTATTGCAGGGTAAACAACTGTGTTGTGTTGTGTTGTGTTGTGTTGTGTTGTGTTGTGTTGTGTTGTGTTGTGTTATTGCAGGGTAAACAACTGTGTTGTGTTGTGTTGTGTTGTGTTGTGTTGTGTTGTGTTGTTACAGGGTAAACGACTGTGTTGTGTTGTGTTGTGTTGTGTTGTGTT